GTACAGATAGTGACGGCGGCGTTGATTATATTGAAACGGGAAGAGACACACAAACAGACGGCCAGTCGTGACAAATGGTTGGACTCATACGACTACATAGTGATCGGCTCGGGCTCTGCCGGCGCACTCGTAGCCCACCGGCTGATCGAAGACCCGGCTATTACTGTACTACTGCTGGAGGCCGGGGGACCGCAATCGGTCATTACAGACATACCGGAAAACTACATATAAAACCTGAACACTCAGTACGACTGGGGCTACAAAAACATCCCACAGACAGCGCAGGGAGGGATTGGTGTCGCGTTTACTGGACAACAAACACCGCAAAATCGGGGTAAAGTGTTGGGCGGTTCGTCCACATTGAACGCCATTATCTACAATCGGGGCAATAGTCGTGACTACGATCACTGGGCCCGTGAGTACGGGGCCCGGGGCTGGGCCTACCAGGATGTGTTGCCCTATTTCATGAGGTTTGAAAACAACACCGACCCTAAACTCGTGGCCAAACACCCGGGCTATCATAGCGTCGGTGGGCCCGTACAGGTGCGCTCGTGGGACAGCCCGGAGCCCATCATGCGGTACCACCAGAAAACTCTACACGAACTAGGTCATAAAAATACCGACATCAACGGCTCGCGACAGGTGGGCACATGTCTTATGCAGACATTTCAACGCATGGATGGCATGCGCTCGAGCACTGCCAACAGCTATCTGGACCCTAACCCCTACCACCGGAATCTACATATACTGACCATAGCTCTGGCAATTAAAATACTACATACAAAACCTGAACACTGAATACGACTGGGGCTATAAAATGTTTCCTATTGCATGTTTATTGATTAACTAATCAGTTTACGTTTACTTCATAAACTATAAACACTGTAACTATGGATAGTTCGATAACAGAATTACACATTAGAGCGTATTTTATTGTAACATTATAATGCAATCATATGAAAAATAAATTATAATCATAATTTCAAATATTAAATTGCAATATCGGCTCTATTCCAACTTTTCGGCGACTTACAACAATAGTAGGGTAATATAATAATAATAATTCATTGTTATTGTCACCTTAAAATATTATTCATTTCAATATTTGTCAATAATATAATAAAATAAGACTAATATACAGTTATTATCACATATTATTTCAACTTCATTAACAATAAATTAACGTTTCCAATGGTTTTACTGATAACTAGCATTAATAAAAATAAGATGCTACGTTACATTTTATATTAGCTCCAAAATTGCTATTTTATATTAATTATTATTTTATAAGATATTTAATATTAAAGTTTATTTTATTTTAATATTTATTTTGTTAATTAAGTTATAGTGTTTAGTAAATATATATTGAACTAATAAAATAAGTAATATTTGTTAAATTTTACTTAAATATAATATTTTATAAAATGGGTAATAAAATTAGTAAATTTTTAAATAAGTCCACCAGCAATGTGAATAAGTTAAATATTTTAAATGATGGTTATTATAACAACAATTTTATCATAATCTCGGACTTGGGTTCGGGTTCTTATGGTACGGTATTTAAAGTAAAGCATAGATTGGATGACAACATATATGCTATTAAAAAAGTACAATTTAAGGGTAAATGCCATAACTAAATATTTTAACTAATTTATAAATGTAATAAATATATTTCATAAACATATTTTTTTAGATTCTTGCGAACAAAAGAAACTTCTGAAAGAAGTAAATACTTTAGCAAAACTAGATTCAAATTTTGTTGTTAAGCATTACAATTCGTGGATCGAAAGCAAACACCTCTACATACAGATGGAGTACTGCCCGCAAACACTCGCAGATGTACTCAAAGACAAACAACAAGTGTTTGGCAGACAATCGGCTGAAGCCATGAATATTTACGAGTATTTTATATCATGTGAAATATTTCGGGAACTCTTGCAATGCGTACAATACCTTCACGACCAGAACCCTCCTGTCATTCATCGCGATATAAAACCGGCGAATATTTTAATTTTGCAAAACACTTGTAATAATACATTTATTAAATTGGGTGACTTTGGTTTGGCCACTGAACACGACAGACCATCCCAGAGTCACACACTGGGGACTGGAACTCCGCAATATATGGCGCCGGATGTGGGCCTCAGTAGACATTACGGAATTAAAGTAGATATTTATAGCATCGGAATACTTGCATTAAAATTATTTGAAATAAATACAATGTATGTATTTTTATAATTTATATTTATTACTCGTTATCAAAAGGCACTTACGCAATTTTTAAATTAATTTTTAAACTTCTGAATATCTCCCAAACAAAATGAATTAGCTTAAATCTATAATTTGTAAAAGAAACTTTCATATTTATAGTTTATATTTTATACCATATTAGCGTATTACACCCCATATAGGTGCATGCACTTATAAACATCGCTGGGCATAACAAGCATAATCGGGAATTTGCAGGCATAATTATAATAGACTGTCTATGGTAGCATAGAGGCAAAGCATTTCTTTTTTGTAATTTTGCTTATAAGAGAATTTTACAGATTTTGCATAGTTATTACAAAACTTGCGCAATTATATCCGGAAGTAAGTGCACACTTTTGTGTAAAAATTGTTGGTTACAATTATTTACAAAATGTTAATATGTTAATGAATGAACAATTAACAGTTAAAACAAATCTATAAATATTATTAATCTAGGTCTATTTGTACCTGAAGGGTAAATCTAGGGCAAATTTTGTAGCGTAACTTCTATTTTATAACTACGTTTGTAATACAGTATGTTATAAATAATCAAGGTGAAACATAAATAAAGTCACGTTTTTGCATGGCATGGGACTTACTAATATAAATACATAATTAGTTTAATTATTTGAATTGATTTATCACTTGATTACATGTCCAATGTTTGATATATTTTACACGAATGTACTCAACATTTATAAAACTCACTAGTTAATTTAAATACACATCAATTTTAGACATTTTACAATCCAACCCCTTGTATGCCAATCACCGATCTTGATGAAATATATATCGTTGGAAAGCTTGTAGCAAATAAAAATCATTGGCATAAGTGAAAATTCTGCCTAGGGGGTTTAGGAGCCTTAAAAAGGGGTTAAAATTTATTTTTAATGCATATAGACATACAGGAGTATTTCAGTGTAGGCTACCCAAAAGCACAAGCTTCACACGCAATGCATACATTCCATAGCTCCTATGCGCTTTTGGAACATAACCCCCTTTTAAGCCTCCTAAACCCCCTAGGCAGAATTTTCACTTATGCCAATGATTTTTATTTGCCACAAGCTTTTTAACGATATATATATATTTCATCAAGATCGGTGATGGGCATACAAGGGGGTTGGATTGTTAGTGTTAAAAATTTACTTATAGAACCTATTATTTTATTTCAATGTATATTTTAACTTTAATGTATAGATAGTCTTACCATTATTTAAAATAGATATGCTAAGTGCCGTTTGGTTATAAGTAAAACATATATATATATACAGTCTGCACCGCATTTATCGGTCCCACATATAACGTAAAACCGCTTTTAACAGAATATTTTTGCTGCACCGGCAGCTCCTATGGGTGTATAACGATATTTGCACCACTAATAGCAGAATACCGCATATTACAGACAGTAAACTAATGCCGTGTAATGTTAAACAGCTCCACATATAACGGAATAGGGTTATACACAGATATAGTTATGGTGAAAATTAGATTTCCTCGTGTTTTTAATAACCCTATTGATGAAACAATTTGTAGTGTTTTAACAACAAAACGTTACTTTGTATCATGTTTTTACACAAATACAGTGCTATCTTTGTAAAATAAGCGTCTTTTTGGCAAAATTTTTAAAAATCTATTACTGGGTAACAGAAAACCGGATATAACAGAATAGTACTGAACTCACCGAGTGATTCTGCTAAATGCGGTGCAGACTGTATATATAATAGATGTTAAAATTCTTAATTACCATTTAAAAAATTTCAGTGATGAGAGAATATACAATTTGTCAGAATTTTATCAGCAATTCAAGCATTTACACAATATAATTATATCAATGATTGAAGCACTGCCTGTCAAACGACCCACAAGTGGTGAAGCACTTCAAGATTATCATCACTGGTCTATTGATAAGACAGTAATAATAAATAATAACGGATTTGACAAACTGATAAACTCACTAATGGTTAAGGACAACTCATTCTTCTATAGTTTTTTAAATAGTAAATTAAATAATAAATTAGTCAAAATTAATATTGATAATAACATTGACACAAGTAATAATTTACTAAAGTTAATAAGTGATCAGTCTCCTATTAACACGCATGATAAATCTGTTGAACCAATTCCAAATAAAAAACCTAAGTAAATATAAAAATTATTTAGTACATGATTATCATTTATTAATTTATTCAACAATTAGATACCAAAAATTGACTGACTTATTACCTGCGAAATCGTATAAGGCCAGTCACAATAAAGAAGATATTATTGACATTAAGAACACTCCTGAAAATATGGTAGGCAAATAAAATTTACAATTAATTGCTAATACTATATCTGATAACAAAGTACATTAAAATATAATTTTAGCTTTGTTAGTAAACTAAAAAAGAGTACTTATATAACAAATGACCTAAAACATCCTTGCCACACATCATGTAGTTGCGTGAATTCAATTAAATGCTATGTATTTATTTCAAATTTTGTTCATAATTCAGTCATTTGTGGTCATTGACAGATTATCTCGACGGAAAATAAATTTATGAACCGTAGAGAACATGTCCATACCAATCAGAATAGGCTAGCCAATTTGTTAAATATATATATTCTTTATAGATTCAGTATTACTTATATACTAGTGAGTTTTATATAATTATAATATTACAGCCTAGAATTATTTTATTAAAATTTAATGGTAATTATTATACTCATGACTTCTTGAAAGATAAACTTTTCTTGTGAGCAGCTTTAGCAAAGATTTGAATTTCCCATAGACTTAACTGTAAACCATAGGATTAGCATTAGGCTAATAGATTTAGCATTGCCTATGTTAATGATAAATCATTGATTTAGCATTATTCATTATAAATTTGTCATAAATTTAAGCCGTAATCTTATAGATACAAATGTCAAAACCTCCTTATGAAAATTTTTATAAATATAAATATTTTATAAAATTTAATTATTTTAACTTTTACTGATTAATAAATACTATGCTATATAAAACAAGGATCACACAGCGATGCTATACGTTAACCACAATTCG